GTGCTCATGCTGTTACTACTTACTTGTCTTGTCTTGGAACTTATCTCTGATTTCAGTTTTACAACCCTCATCTGATAATCAGTCTCTACAGGGCACTTCAAAGGTCCAAGGTTTATATAAACACAACTCGGACCTTATAAGTATTCATTGTAACATATACTTTGCTATACTTATTCTTAATTTCCAATGTATTATTCTATTACTATCAAAAACAATTTGGGACAATTTGCAGTTTATCCATCCATTTATTCAACAAACATGTACTTAAGTGTTAAATGCTATGTTCAGTGCTGGGGGTACAGTAACAGGGTATTACTGTATACAATGAGGCCATTAAAACAGGCATGGGTATGTATGACTGAAACATGATGCTGTACGCCAGAAATTGACACATTGTAAAAGTGACTATACTTCACTTAAAAAATCAGGCATGGGTAATCATGAGATAATAAATGCACGAAAGTCCTAGGCTTATCTTGCTTTATAATGAAGCATTACAAATTGATTCTGTGCATGCACGCAATAGTTTTATATGATGTCAACCATCAAATTTACAGAAGTTTGTTTAATTATAATTCATTTGATTTGTTGAAGAGATAATATAGTCACAGGGCTCAAAAACGGAAAGTATGTAAGTATGTATTAAGTCTCTCACCCCAATCTGTCCAGTTCCTTTCTCCACCCCAAGAAACCTCTTTTTCTTCCTTGGTTTATTTTATGAAAATGCAAATACTAATACAAATTCTTATTTATCTCCTTTTTTAAAAAAACAAAAGGTGGTATATTTACCCTTTGCTCTGTAGCTTATCTTTTGTCAGATGTACTTTTAAGTTTTCTTTAAGTAGAACTATAAGCTATGTTTTGAACCATAGACGTCTTTGAAATTTGATCAAGTGTTATAAATATTTATTTGCAGTGCTCATACCCACTTAGTCTCCCGGGTCACTGACCAGGAAGGAGAATTAGTTTTTAGAAAAATATGTCTTGATATGTATTCACTGATAAGCAGTGCCCTTGACCCACTCTGTCTTGTTGCTTCCAGATAATGCTGCGTATTGCTTGCCTAGTGTTTCTAGTCTAATGTGGAATCAAAATCACGATTCTTGTAATCTGCTTTTGAAAAGTTGGTCCAAAGTGTATGCTGTATAATGTGTGTACTATATTTTATGTAATGAAATTAAAGGATATAATTACATATTATTTTGAAGTGCTAAAGTAAGCATGAATTAGGGGAAACCTAGATATTGGTAAGTTTTTAGAATAGAGTATTTGTGAAATTCATTATTTTTCTTTGAGGATTTCTATAATTGATTACCTGCATACGTTAAACTGGGACCACTTAATTTAAATATGGTTACTTTTTTTTTTTAACTTAGAAGAAATTCCTAATTGATGGATGACAAGACTTTTATGAAATGTTGACTCATTGTATCAGGAATAAATGAGTCACTTGAAAAATTTTGCAGGCAGTTCATTTTGTACGCTTAATATCTCTTCAGTGGTCTCCAGCCTATTCCTCCTTCCATTTTTTAACTGGTCCCATTTGAAGTGTAAATTTTCTCTGAGTCAGCCTGTGGAATTTGGGGTGAGGTAACTCTGCTGAGGGTGGGGACCAAGTGAGTTCTCTGTGTGTGTCTCTCTTTCTAAGACTAAGAACCACTATTACATATCTATGCAATCTTGGTTTTTGTATGTAGGAAATGCCACCCCACTTGTGAACAAATGTACCAAATTTGTTTTTCTGTCTGTGCCTTCAGCCCCTCCATCCTGCGGTCACTTGTCATGAGAAGGTGGTAAGTGTCCGAAAAGACCCCAGCGAATCACTCGGCATGACGGTTGCAGGGGGAGCGTCCCACAGGGAGTGGGACTTGCCAATCTATGTCATCAGTGTTGAGCCTGGAGGAGTCATAAGCAGAGATGGAAGAATAAAAACAGGTAAGAAGCCAAGAGACGTAAGATACTGGGCAGTAGAGTTTAAAAGGAATTAGCACCTTGCTGGGTTAGGTAACTGTTTCCACAATTAACAAGAGAATGTGAGGGTATCTGGCTGGGACATCTGTTACCCACTGACCATGATTAGTTTGCGTATAGTTGCTGGACTGGGTTTCAGCCCTCTTCGTGCGCGTGGATGTGGGCCACCTTGCTCACTGGTAACGTGAGTACCTGCCAACTATGCCAAGAATTAATAGAGAAGTGCTACAGTTATGAGCAAGTTGCCTCAGTTAAGTGACATAATTTCATTCCATTCGTTCTAAGTGAGTCTTTGCTGGATTGATCCAATGATGAAAATGCTCATGAATTGTTCTGTCTTATGAGTTGGATAAGAGAAACAATTTGATAGAATTTGATTTAATGAATATTTAGTAAGTGAAAGTACCAAGCAGGGTACCTTCCAATTGATGACAAGTGTTTCACTACTTGAATCTTAGGTGATTTGGGGCTACTTCCAGTGAAGGCAAGTGATGTCCAGTTTGCATCTTTAATAGTATTGTCAGTTCCCATGAAGGGGCAGCTCAGATGGCAGTTATGCCCTTTCAGGTTTCAGATTCAAGAGCTAAAATGTGCCGTTTCTGAAGTACAACTGCTTAGCCACTGGGGTTAAACATGTTAAGGAATTCAGTCAGCCAACCTAACGGTGCTTCTTTTGAGGTCAGGATGATCTCGAGATCTTTCCCATCTTTCTCCTCCTATCCTTTTACTCTCGCTGCTATGATTATTCTGTGTAAAAAAAGATGGAGGCAGAAAAACAGAGATATAAGAATAGAAAATGGAGATGGGGAGGTATGTCTTTTAGCTTCTCTTGCTTTTCTTTTTCACCCAAGCACCTGGGTAGAAATGATGCCATCAACCAAGAAGTGGCTTTATTAACAAGAGAACTTGAGCAAAGGATTATAGGATACGATGGTTCTGCACGTAGCAGGCGCTTGACCAGTGGTAGCTGTCGTCACCTTGCAGTGACTAGAAATGGGAACTTTTCTCTCTACCTCTTTAACAGCACAGTTCCAGACCCATTTTTCTTAACTGCTAAGACAACTCTGCCAGACACTCTCATGGGGACTTGCTTATTTATTCACTCAATCCATATTTCCTGGGTGCCTGCTACATGACCACATGCCAGGCTCTGTGCAGGTGCAGGGAGCTTTTCCCAAGTGTTCTCCCTTGGCCCTAAAAACGGGAAAGAGGAAGAAAAAGGAGATTTTCTTTGATTAATAGTGAATGTGGCTATTTTTTCTCTCTTTCTTTCTTTCTTCCTTCCTTCCTTCCTTCCTTCCTTTCCTTCCTTTCCTTCTTTCCTTCTTTCCTTCTTTCTTCCTTTCTTCCTTTCTTCCTTCTTTTCTTTTCTTTTCTTTTCTTTTCTTTCTTTCTTTCTTTCTTTCTTTCTTTCTTTCTTTCTTTCTTTCTTTCTTTCTTTCTTTCTTTTCTTCCTTTCTTTCTTTTCTTTTCTTTCTTTTCTTTCTTTTCTTTTCTTTCTTTTCTTTTCTTTCTTTTCTTTTCTTTCTTTTCTTTCTTTCTTTTCTTTCCTTCTTTCTTGACAAGAGCCAC